ATGAGCTCTAAGTAGGACAAATTAACCCTTTCATAGCTGAAACCATTTTATTTTTCATTTTTTGGACACTTGCTAAAATGCACATTTTAATGCACATGTGAAATTGCACTTAAAACCCTAAAGCCTTATCTATTTCTGAAAGCAGAGGAAACGCTAATAAACTTTAGGGCTCATTCATACTAGAGGTTGGGGGCAGTAAAACCCTTCAGTTGAGCTGGTTTTACTGCCACAAACCACTACCCTCTTTAGCTGCATAAGCAGTGGACAGAGGTGTAGACATGCCACCTGTGCAAAGCTTTCCTATGCTTTCGCAATGAATGCACGTATGTCATGCTAGTGCAGGGTTCAAGGGAAGCAGGCAGTGGGAAGTTGATACAACATCTCCTCACTGCCTGTCAAGTGCTCTCTGAAGATCGACACAAATGTGAAACACTCTTCAGAGAGCAAAGCTAGTGTGATAGAGTAAATCAATAGTTTTCCAATTTTTTTGTAGATTTATAAGATGAGACAGAATTGAGTAAAAAGATGCAAGATATATCATGACTTAAATGTCCATGCAGTTGCAAATCAGTTTTTCAAAAAGAGATGTCAAAAAACATTTACAAACTTGCAAGAAAATTAAGAAAACATTTTTGCAGATTCTTACCTTTCCACAAATTTGTGGTTTGTTTCCCCATGTCCTTTTTCAAACTGATTCCTGAGCAGGAGGGTAAGTCTTGATTAAAACCACCTAAGAAATGTTGACATTGTAATAAACAATTGCTGTAGTGTATGCATCCCTTTAGAAGTATATGAGCCTTTCCACAAAAATTAAAGTTCCGCTGCAAGGGATGCCTGACATTAGCCTCTGAGCAAAACAGTGAGACAATTACACAAGTGTAACCCTCATTTGAGAAATGGTCCTCTCCAAACAGGATCATGTGCTAAACCTACAGGTATATAAAGGAACCAGAACTGTTGTTAAGTGGAAGCGTGGGTTTGAGCAGAGGGGATTCCCTTTTTGGGAAATGTAATTGACCAATAATCTAATCAAAGTAATTGGGAGTAGCTCAACTATTGCAACTCACATATAATATTATTAAAATTTATTGTATTATGTATTATAAATATATAGATGCACACCAGTATGGAAATAATGAAAGCTTTATATAAGAAAAGAATAATGATAGTGCATAAATCCAATGTAAAAACAGGTATTATTAGCACAGGGCCCAACAAGTGTCCTGGTGTAATTGTTCATATATATATATATATATATATATATATATATATATATATATATATATATAGGCTAAATATGCAGTTATAAATAATGTTACCCCCCAATGAATGCTGCAGCAAAGTCCAATTGCAGGGGTCCATGAGGATGATTGCGATTATATTTCCGTCTTTGCGTCAGAGACCTGCAGACAAGATCAGTGGTGATGGAGAGATCCTCCAAACATTGTCCAACCAGCCTGGAATACAGATTCCCACCAGCCTAGTTGTTTCTACTCTGTCATGCAACTGGACCTCTAACTACCAGTGGCCGTTAGCTGCATAAAGCCCTGTACACACAGACCAAATATCAGGCAGCACCGGCCGGTTCAGCAAAATCGGCTGGCATTCGGCCGGTGTGTACTGCAGCCGGTCCGAAAGAAGCCGGACATTCGTTCGGCTTCTATTGAAGGGGCGCAACCAAAAAAAGGTCTTCCGATCAGCTTCCAATCAGAGCTCTCAGGACAATGGCCAGAGACAGGAAGTGCTATACATAATAAATGAGCAGTTCAGGCATTTACAAATACAAACAGTACAGGGTAGCAGATCCCCACACAAGTAAGAAATAAGATTCTTTGGGGTATTCTATACACCAATGGATGTTGTCATATTGCAAGGAAGAAACATTTGAATTGTTGTCTGTTTTAAAAACTGCAGTAAATGTAGATTAAAAGGGAAAGGTGATTTTAATAACCCCTTTTGGCAAATGAATTGATTGATATGAAGCCAATCTTGCACTAAACGCAGGCCCACCAACATGACCAAATCCAGCAGGTACGCTCTTATTCTGATGATCTATGCCAGGAGTGTTTAACCTTTTGAAGAGTGAGGGCCACTTACTGTAAATGATTTGGTAACTGGTCATGGGCCACAAGGAAATGAAGCAGAACTTTACATTTTCTATTTTGAATAGTATATGAACATTTTCTTCTTGCAGTTGCTGAATGCTGGTGGGAGGGAGAGGAGGAGAAGCTAGATTTCAGCAGTTGCAGGAGGAAAAGGGAGCATGGGGCGGGGCAGTTCACCTATGGCTTTCCTGTGGGTTAGCTGCTCTTTGCCATAGACTTCTATTATATCTTACGGTTGTGGTGCACTTTCTGAAAGCACACCAAAATTCAGAATCTATATAATATATGAGTTTCACTTTTGAATTGAATTACTGAAATTTACTTTTTGATGATATTCTAATTTATTGAGATGCACCTGTATACTTTAAACATAGCTATCAGTACACTCTAGTCCTTTTACAGTTATCTATGACACCCATATCAGCCCTCAAAGTGCCTGGGTGCAATACGCAATCACCCTTCAATCAATTTGTACTGTTCTTTGCAGACAGGGTAGATATCAGTAACATCTAATACTCCATTAAAGAGGCCCTGTCGCCGGACCAGTCATTTCAACAAAAACTCCAAAGACATAATGGTAGGTGATTTGGTTCCTGTCTAAATTGGCCCTAGTATGTGTATGTATGAATGTGAGTTAGGGACCTTAGATTGTACACCCCTTGAGGGTTAGGGACTGATGTGAATGTACAATATATGTGTAAAGCGCTGTGTAAAATTGATAGTGCTATATAAGTACCTGAAATAAATAAATAAATAAAAACATCTGAGAAGATTATAGGTGAGTTTAATGTATTTTAGGCATGTTATGTACCTGTAAAAGCCTCCCTTGGTTAGATATCGAAAAGCCCCGAGACTTCTGCTGGTCACCACCGCCTTTAATGTGATGTCAGCAGCCCCAGCAGACTCACAATCAACAATTTATATAGTATTTTCCTCCATTTTCATAAAAGGTTATATAAGGTGGTGAAGGGAGAAGAGGAGAAGCTGGGCCAACTCAGAAAGCAATTGGACACCCCTTGAAGAGGAGAGGGCTATGACTTGCAAGGAGGAAGGTGGTTGTACTAGGGGACTGACTTGTCAAATTTTCTTGCGTGTTCAAAGACACATTGTAAAGGATTTAAAAATTTTAATTATCAAAAGGAAAAACACAACATATAGGTTTTTAAAATACTTTTTCAGATTTTTCTCTGCTGTCACCTGCAATTTATTTACATTCGTGACAAGGTCTTTTTAAGCAGTCCACACTTGATAATTAGTAAGTGTAGCCCTACGGAACAGAGGTTAATAGGAACACAAAAGCAGTGTACTGAGCTTTAAAGACTGTAAAAGATATCTGATCAAAGCAGTAAACAAGTAAAATGTAATACAGACTGACAAGTTACAAGGCTAGAGTCGAAGTCATAAGTACAACTGGGAGAATGACAATAGTCTCACCATGTGAAGGACCTAGAGGCAGATCAGGTTTTTATAGTGCAACTGCCTGTGTGTCATGCCAGGCAGCCAGATGTTGTGGCTCTAATTTCTCAAGTCTCGACATCTGTGCCAGGAAGGGTATAATTACCCCATAGTACTGCTATAGGCAGTTCAGTTAGCACAAATAATTCTACAGTATGCTCCTATTTTTTAAGCAATGAACATTATACAATGATTTTCCTCTTGTACTATAGATTTTTAATGAATAAATCTTGTTTAATTACAACAATAGTAATATTAATAATATTTACCATTAGCAGTAGTAATAGTATTTGAATTAGTAAAATTACTACCAGTAGCAATATTATTAATATTACACCTCCATTTCCTTACAAGTTAGGGATCTGTACGAGGGACAGATGTTAAATTGTATGTCATTAGGGATGAGCTATTTTGCCTGCTTGCAGTTTGGTAAATGGACAAATAAACTGGCCACATTTAGCTGGATTTCCTGGCCAAACCCCTAGCTGATGTTTGTAAACAAACATGGCTGGTTTGTTTACATACAGCAGGTGGGCTGGGATCTGTCATTTTGCAGTGAGAGTGCAACAGGTGAACATCAGTGGGTGGAGGGTTGTCGTGGTGGAGGGTTGTCATTACTGGAGAGGATCTACATTGATGAATGATGTGATTGATGTTGGATTTACATTGGGGCACATTATTTACTTTTTTTGTCACAGCGTGAGTTTTTTTTTTGCTTTTTTTTGGTAATGAGATTGAAGGGTACTGATGTACCCTGTATTTATTTCTGGGGGGATGTATAGCTGAGGACTCCCTCATTATAAAGGAGACTTTCAGATTGCAATAGGTCCATCCCCCCTCCCAAAAACTATATGAGGCCCTTGTCCCTTGCAAGGGATGAAAGTTTGCCACCACTTCAATGTTGAAGGCATGTGGCCTTGTATGGTTCAGAAAAGGTTACCACAAGCTCAAGAATTATGGGAGAACCATGTGCTTTTTTAAAGTGTCTTTAGCCACTTGCCCTGCAGAGGATTTACCCCCCTTCCTGAACAGGTCATTTTTTGCGTTAAGGCAGTGCGTTATTTTAATTAACAATTGTACAGTCATGCAACGTTGCACCCAAGTGAAATTTACATCCTTTATTCCCCACAAATAGAGCTTTCATTTGGTGGTATTTGATCGCCCGTGCATTTTTTTGTTTTTGCACTATAAAAAAAAGACCAACAATTTTTAGAAAAACAACATATTTTTTACTTATTGCTATTAAACATGTCCAGTAAAAATGTTTAAAAAAATCACATTTCATCATAAATTTAGGGCAAAATGTATTCTGCTACATGTCTTTGCTAAAAAAAATCCCAATACATGTAAATTAATTGGTTTCCATGAAAGTTAAAACGTTTACAAATGATGGTATATATATGCTGGAATTTTTTTTTTTTTTACTAGTAATGGCGGCGATCAGCAACTGTGGGACTGCATCAGGCATTTTGACACTGGGGGGAACTGACTTGGTGTCACTGACATCCCCAGTGACACCAATGCAGTGATCAGTGCTAATAAAAAGCACTGACACTGTACTAATGGCACTGGGCAAGAAGGGGTTAACATGTGGGGCAGTCAAAGGGTTAACTGTGTGCTGTTTCACATTCTGTGCTGTGTGTGCTTTCAACTGTAAGTGCACTGCTTTGTATAGCTCTGCTATGCCATACAAAGCAGTGTGCAGGAGCTGACAGGGGAGAGAATTGTATTGTTTACATACAGTTCTCTCCCCTGTTTGGCAATACTCAGCGATCACTGGGTGCCGGCGAGTAATCACCGGCTGGGACCTGGTGATTGACAGCTGAGGCCACGAACGGCAGCGCGGGTAGAATGCGCTCACACCCCATGTGCGCCCCTACCTGGAACTGCAAAATCGCATATACAGTTGCAAGAAAAAGTATGTGAACCCTTTGGGATTACGTGGAGTTTTGCATGAATTGGGCATAAAATGTGCTTTGAACGTCATCTAAGTCACAACAATAGAAGAACACAGTCTACTGAACATAATACTACACAAACATTAGATGTTGCCATGGTTTAATTGCACATAACATTCACAGTGCAGGGAGGAAAAAGTATGTGAACCTTTGGACTTAATAACTGGTTGACCCTCCTTTGGCAGCAATAACCTCAACCAAACGTTTCCTGTAGTTGCAGACCAGACCTGCACAATGATCTGGAGTAATTTTGGATCACTCCTCTTCACAAAACTGTTTCAGTGTAGCAATATTCTTGGGATGTCTGGTGTGAATCGCTCTCTTAAGGTCATGCCACAGCCCTGAGGCAAGCAAAGCAGCCCCAAACCATGATGCTCCCTCCGCCATGTTTTACAGTGGGGATGAGGTTTTGATGTTGGTGTGCTGTGCCTTTTTTTCTCCACACATAGTGTTGTGTGTTCTTCCCAAACAACTCAATCTTGGTTTCATCTGTCCACAGTATATTTTGCCAGTAGTGCTGTGGAACATCCAGGTGCTTTTTTGCAAGCTTCAAACGTGCTGCAATATTCTTTTTGGACAGCAAAGGCTTCCTCCGTGGTGTCCTCCCATGTACTCCATTCTTGTTTAATGTTTTCCTTATTGTAGATGTGTCAACAAAAATGTTAGCATGTGCCAGAGATTTCTGTAGGTCTTTAGCTGACACTCTGGGATTCTTCTTTACCTCATGCAGCATTCTGCGATGTGCTCTTGCAGTCATTTTTACAGGACGACCACACCTAGGGAGAGTAGCAACAGTGCTAAACTTTCTCCATTTGTAGACAGTCTGTCTTACCATGGACACATGAACATCAAGGCTTTTGGAGATACTTTTGTAACCCTTTCCAGCTTCATGCAAGTCAACAATTCTTGATCGTAGGTCTTCTGAGAGCTCTTTTCTGCGAGGCACGGTTCACATTAAACAGTGCTTCTTGAAACCAGTAAACCCAAAACAGGTGTGTGTTTTTTAAGGGCAGGACAGCTGTCAGCAACACATCCAATATCATCACACTGATTGGAGTCAAGGTTGGCTCACTCCTGGCTCCAATTAGCTCTGGGAGAAGTCATTAAGCTAGGGCCTCACATACTTTTTCCTCTCTGCACTGTGAATGTTTACATGTTATGTGCAATTAAACCATGGCAACATCTAATGTTTGTGTAGTATTATGTTCAGCAGACTGTGTTCTTCTATTGTTGTGACTTAGATGACGTTCAGAGCACATTTTATGCCCAATTCATGCAAAACTCCACGTAATCCCAGGGGTTCACATACTTTTTCTTGCAACTGTATATAAGTGATTTTGTGCACCCGTGCCACCCTGTAGCAATATTTCTGCTATAAGGCAGATGGGAAGCTGTTAAATAAATGACACAAAAAGATATAGGGGCCTCCTAAAATGCATACCAAACTCCTATCCAGGCATGCAGTCTGGGTGAGCAGGAGAGGGGGGCAGGTGAGGGGGTGGATAACAGTGAGCATTCTGTTCCTCTCCTGAATCATAGTAGACCACAGGCTTTCAACATTGAGATAGTATATTGCATAGGGGAAGGGGGGGGGGGCAGTGAAAAAAAAATATTTTCCCGTTGCAAGGCCCTCTGTACCAATGTTGAGAAAACAAGGACCTCATCCCCACATACTGCTCTCCAAAAGTGATGTAGGACTCTCTATGGGAATGAGTAGGAGGTACATCGCTGCACCTTGTTACTCATTCCTAGTCCTTTTTAAAATGAAATTACATAAATGCAATACCAATCACATGTCCAATGACATAGATCCTCATCAATGATGATGACCCACCACCAGGCATTGTTTCCTCACCCCCATGATGACCCTTCACTTGATGATGCTGCCCTGCCATTACTCCCTTTACACATAATACAGTAGTACCCCAGGCTGGCTGCTGTTTGTAGACAAACTAAACAGAGATTCTGGGTGATGACATTAGCCAAAGATGGACATATTTGGCCAATTACATCTGTTTGAGAAACATCCCCCCCTATTCATGTGATCCTTATCAGTTTCTAATTGGGGCAGAGATGAGTGCTCATTTGACCATCTCCCTATAAATTTAGAACAGCTCATGGGGGGAGATCACTGATGGGGGGTGGCACAGTCACTGATGGGGTGCTGGTTTGGTGTGAGTGCTGTGGGGATGAAGTGCTAAGATGCAGTTAAACACAGCAGTTGAACTAAAGTCTACTGCACGCTGGACAGACTGCAAGCAAACACCCTGGGAAACATCTCTTACAAGTCTGTGACCAACTCCGTGTGCCTTTTAATATGTCCCCTATACTCTTCCTTTTCATATTACTTTCCTGCGTTCCCAAAATCTCACTTCTTTATCACTCTGTCCACCCCAAAACTTGTGCATCTCACCCTCACTGCTACCATCTCCCTACTACTGCTCTCATCACCTCCTGCTGATACTTCACCCTCCTGCTGACCCAAACACCAGGACTGGAAGGCATGTGCGCTCGTGTACATCCCGCTCCCATTTTACACCAGGCATCCTCTTTCTTCCAGGAATAGCCGCAATCCCCTCAATTTAATATCGGTCCCCATGCTCCCAAAAAAACCACCCTCCCTTTTTCATGTGCGTTCTGGAATGCCCGCTCTGTCTGTAATAAGCTCACCTCTGTCCATGACCTTTTTATCACCCGCTCCCTTAACCTACTAGCAATTACAGAAATCTGGCTCCAAGCAGAAGATTCTGCTTCTCCAGCAGCACTTTCCTATGGAGGCCTCATCTGGACCCACTCACCCAGACCCAGTGGTCGGAAAGGTGGTGGGGTTGGTTTGCTTCTATCCCCACTGAGCACCTTTCCAGTCCTCCCTAACCCTCCCTCTCTATCCTTCTCTTCTTTTGAGACTTGCTGCATCCGGCTGTTTTCTCTCCCATTTCTCTGAGGATTGCAGTGATCTATCGGCCTCCTGGACCGGTGTCCCGCTTTTTGATGATTTCTCCGCCTGGCTACCCTACTTTCTCTCCTCTGAACTACCCACTATCATTCTCGGAGATTTTAACATCCGCATTAATGTCAACAACCCGGCTACATCCCAACTCTTCGACCTAACCTCATCTTTTGCATTAGCACAATGTATACAGTCCTCCACTCACTCTGATGGGAATACATTAGACCTTGTTTTCTCCCATCTTTGCACGCCCTACAACCTCACAAACACCCCCTTTCCTCTCTCTGATCACAATCTCATCACCTTCACAGTCTCCTTGTCTTCAAACACCTATCCCTCCAAGCAGCAAACAATTACTCGCAGAAACCTTCACAACCTGAACCCTGCTCCTTTCCACTCTGCAACTGACCAACTCTATGACAGAATCTCTCCCCTGTCCTGCCCTGACCTGGCCACTGCTGTCTATAAACAGTTCGCTTTCATCTGCATTAGACTTGCTTGCTCCTTTAACAACACAAAGCATCAGGCCCCAACCGTTACAACCTTGGCAGGCTGACGACACCAGAAATCTTAAACGACATAGTCGTGTGTGCTGGAGCGATTGTGGCGTAAAACCAAATCTCAACAAGCATTCACCCTATATAAATCTGCTTTCTTAACATACAATTCCTCCCTTCATGCTGCCAAACAAGCCTACTTTGTCACTCTTATTAATACCTTGTCATCCAGTCCTCGTCGTCTCTTCTCTACTTTTAACTCTCTACTTTCTCCACCTCCACCCAATACCTCACTCACTGCTCACGAGATTGCAAATCATTTCAAAAACCAGATTGATGCAATTCATAGAGGCATCGCTACTGCACAGATGTCCATCCCACTTAGCATACCTTATACTAAACCTCCCTCAACACTTTCCTCTTTTGACCTTGCTACAACCCAAGAGGTCACTAAGATTTTCTCAGAAGCCCGTCTCACTACCTGCGCCCTGGATCTTGTCCCCTCACAACTACTACGGTCACCCTCTTCTTCCATCCTATGCTCCCTCACTCACATCTTCAACCTTTCCCTCTCTACTGGTGCCTTTCCCTCCCCTCTAAAGCATGTGCACATCACTCTCATACTTAAAAAGCCCTCCATGGACCCCACCAACCTGAACAACTTAAGACCCATCTTCCTGCTGCCATTTACCTCTAAACTCCTAGAACGCTTAGTCTACAATCGCCTGAGCTCCCACCTCACCGACAACAACCTTCTTGACCCTCTACAGTCTGGCTTTCGCTCACTACACTCCACTAAAACTGCCCTACTAAAACTCACTAATGATCTACTAACTGCTAAAACCAATGGCCACTACTCCGTACTCTTACTACTTGACCTCTCTGTGGCTTTTGATACGGTTGACCATCCCCTCCTCCTCAAAAAACTCCACTCTCTTGGCCTCAGAGACTCTGCTCTCTCTGGTTCTTCTCTTACCTATTGCAGTGCTCCTTCAGTGTTACCTATAATGCTGCCTCCTCCTCTTCACTCCCCCTTTCTGTAGGGGTCCCTCAAGGTTCTGTCCTTGGACCCCTTTTCTTCTCCATCTACACCTCCTCCCTTGGTCACTTGATAAACTCCCATGGCTTTAAGTACCATCTCTATGCTGATGACACACAAATCTATCTTTCTACCCCTCACCTTACCCCTTCAGTCTCCACTTGCATTACTAAGTGACATATCGGCATGGATGTCACTCCACTTCCTCAAACTCAATCTTTCCAAAACTGAGCTCTTAATATTCCCCCCAGCCCATGCCCCCTCCCCTGACTTCTCCATCAAGATCAATAACACAATCATCAGTCCTTCCCCTCATGCCAGGGTACTAGGAGTAATCCTAGACTCCAATCTGTCCTTTCAGCCCCAAATCCAATCACTGTCCAAATCTTGAAGACTTCA